CAGGATTGTGGTGTTCGTGTTGGTTAGTAATTGGTTGACATCAATTAGTAGTTTTTTCTGTTACTGTAGTTTATCTGTTACTGTGGTCTGATTATGTCTGTCTGGGACCATGGGCATAAACTCAAGTTAGCAGCTAAAAGCTGCCCCTTTGGGAGAAGAGAGAGCAGCCATGTAACTTTATTCTTCAGAAGTAAATTTTTGTGTTAAATGTAGTGGTATGGATTTGTTCAGTGGATGTACATATTTCACAGTTGCACAGTAAATTGCATACACTTCACTTATTGAGTTGAATGTAAAGCACTGGATCTACTTTTCACCCCTCAGGTAACAAGGAGGGAGTTTGGCCGTTTACTCTCTGACAACACAACATATACTGTTTGCTTTACAGGGAAATTATTGAAAAAGCGATTGCAGTGATTATAACCCCTCTTGCTTTCTGCTGGTTTACAAATAGCCTACAGTTAGCGTGATTACTTTTAATTTTTTTTTATATTATGACATCATAGATAGCAATTCAGTCTGCAGTGTTGACAGAATATGTTGATAAAAACTAATGCAAAACAAAATCTTTGATAGAAAAATTGGTAAATGACAGTATAAATACACTCCCTTTTTCAGAAAGAGCAAACCAGCAATAAAATTTTAGGTATTGTTTTCTTGCTATTGAGAAGTTGTCAGTAATGTCTATTGATTTTTATATGCATATGTCTGTGTGTGTATATACACACACGTACACTTAAGAAACTTTGATTATGTTTGTGACGATTTTCTAGCATGAACAAACAAAAGAATGTCATGTGCCTCAATTATTCACTGTTTCACATGAAAAAAAAAATGTGCTTAGTGATGTGTATAGTATGTTATAGTGAGGAAGTGAAACCAAAATGAACAGTGAAGCTAAAGGGATTAATTAAGACAACAGCAAAAATATTGGGAAGTGTCTTATGCAGATACACCTTAAATTACTGCTTTCAGACTTCCTTTTTAGGAAAGGGTTGTTTGATGTAGTCCGGAAGAACTGGATAAAAAACGAATACTTTGGTTTTGTGGGGAGGAAACATTTTTTCTTCTTGCTTTTCCGGTTGTATCTGCACCAGAATAGATAAGATCTTGTCCAAAGGTTTTTAGAATTCTGTCCTGCTACTCTGGTCTGAGCATGCTTCTATGGGGAGATGGCGATGTTGCCAACACGTGTGGCTCTGTTTTGTGTTTTATAGATAACTGAATATATCCTGCCTGTGAGTTAAAATATCTTAGAAAGAATAAAGGGGTTTGTCCTGGTTTTGGATGGGGTAGAACTAATTTTCTTTCTAGTAGCTGGCATAGTGCTGTGTTTTGGATTTGGGATGACAGTGTTGATAACATACTGATGTTTTCAGTTGTTCTTAAGCAGTCAAGGACTGTCCAGCTTCTCATGCTGGCCTGCCAGCGAGAAGGTGGGGGTGCCTGGGAAGCTGGGAGGGGACACAGCCGGCCAAAGAGATACTCCATACCGTACGATATCACGTGCAGTATATAAACTGGGGGAGTTGGCCAAAGAGGGTGCTGCTTGGGAACTGGCTGGGCATCAGTCGGTGAGTGGTGAGCAATTGTGTTGTACATCACTTATTTTGTATAGCCTTTTATAACTTTTTCCCTCTTACCCCTCATTCCCTTCCTTTTCTGTCCTATTTGACTGTCTATCTCAACCCATGAATTTTACTACTTTTTTTTTTTGAGGAAGAAAATTAACTCTATCCCAGCTGAAACCAGGACAGGTTTTTTGAGTTAATTGGTATGTTTCTCTAAACATTTAGGAATGACTTGATTTTGAATCAGTGATGCTTGCATACAGTACAGTGCCTCACTTAAGAGAGAAAACAGTGTGATGAAACTTAAGACTTCATTGAAACTTAGATGGTTTTTCTCCTTAGTTGTACATGGAGACTTTTTAGTGGGGAAAAGAAAGAAAGGAAGAGTTTAGGCGACTTTTATAAGTGGTGAATAAATCTAATTCTCTTAAAGAGTGCTAACACATGAAAAAATTCCAGTGCTTATCTTTGATATACAACTTTCAGACTATTTACTTGGAAATTGCAGTTCACAGAACATTTTATATGCTA